TGCAGCCTGAAAACTCCCTAGTGTGGCCAAGGCTATAAATGCTATTAAAGTACTTTCCAACATGACAAAAGGAATAATCACATTGGCAAACATAAGCTTTATGATTATCCTGGGTGCCTCCAGTATAACCATTTCTGGGTTTTTTGGTTTTTTTTTGTTTTGTTTTGGTTTTTTTTGGTTTTTTTTGGTTTTTTTTTAATGCTAGACTCATAACTGAAACAAATTACATGAATCAAAACATCCAGAGGGGAAACAAACCTTCATCACCCAGTGAGTCAAACCTCAACCTCCCAATGGGTCTCTATTTCCCAGTCCTACCATTGCTCCCTTTTCAAGGTGTCCTCTCAAGGCAGCAGAGGTTTTCAAGAAGCACACACACACACACACTGATGATCCTTCTGTTCCACTCCTGCCAACACCAGGTGTCAAAGCAATCCACCCCAATACGGAGAAGGAGCCTAGTTTCTACACTGCCATCCCAGCTCCCACCAGCATCACTGGCCACAAACCACAAACAGTCAAAACCTTCTGCCCTTTGGGGATCTGACCCCCTCTCCCCACCCAGAATGGAGAGGAGACAAATTCACAACTTGTTCAAAGAGGGTGTGGAAGTTTGCCTGGGAGGCTGTCAGGTAAGAGAATCAAGCAAAACTACATATTATTTTTTGCACCACCACTCATGTCAACCTCAAGTGCCCTGGAATAGATGGAAAAACAAAACAGCAAAGACCTCTAAGAATAATATACTGGCACATATAAGAAACTTCAACTATATTCCTTTTTTCTTAAGCAGCAAAAAATACAATGGAAACATAATGGGGGGTGGAGGGGGAAGGATATTCTTGGAATTACAGTTTAAAATAAGGCCAAGAAAATAGCATAAAATTCCATTTTGTGCCCAAATATTCCCCTATCATCTTAGCTGAAATAAGTTTTAGATTGATTTTTACGCTGCCCCTAAGGCCATAACGGCATCCTGAATGGTTCAATTACAGCAAAAAGAAGAGAAGTAACAGATAACAGTATGCTTGCCAGTAAAAGGAGGGTATGGTCTCTGTGTGCACACATGTATGTATACATATGAATCAAAATTGAAAAGAATTTATTGATTTGGTTAAGCTGTGCTAATATATTCGTACTGCTCATTTGCTCAGAGTCCTCCTAGTTCGCCTGAATTAGGAGAAGAGGCTGAGGTTACACTGAGGTTAGCTGACACGTGTCAGCCAAGCCTGACCTAATCCTGGGTTTCTAACTAGTTTGATCTTCTCTAAATAATATTAAGAAGAGGAAGAAACCACAGGGATGCAGGTAGCTTCCAAATCACTGTTTTTAGAAGCTGTACACAAACAGACAGGGCAGAGTTGTGCATGCTGACTCCTCCACAGAAAACTCCACCCTGTGATCCCCCAGCTCCCTGGCTGCATACCTCCCACCAAAAGTTCTGTCACAAAGACATGGTGACCCCCAAAGAGTGAAACAGGAAAAATTAATTTTCACAAAACAACATCCATGGATTTACGCCAATGATTTGCATTGGATCCAATACCTGGGGAAACTGCACATTCATCTCAAAGCATTTCTCAGATCTGGCATAAAAGTAAGGGTTTGATGAGCAATAAAGAAACTAAAATAATATGGCTTAAACCACAGAGGTGCCAGCTTTTACTGCCTTTCACTGAGCACACAGTATTTTTCTTCCCCTGTTCCAAGGGAAATAACACTCCATGCAACTGTTATAGGATGTAAAACGTGCACTGTGCTGTTCAGACAAAGCTCGTAATTGAAACATTTAAGCATCAGTGAAATCCCAAACGTAAAGTTTTTCATTTTCATTCAGCCATGAAGTTAAAATTCTGGGGGGAGAGTGGAAACTACTATCTCAGAGTGCTTTTAAGGTCTATTTTTTCTGATATAGTAATCAGAAAGATAAGCTCCGTCAATATGCCAGCAGTTGCTGCCATACTCCAGAGGCTCGCTGCCGATGGCATCGCCTGCTTTGCCTTTGTCATCCCTGCCCTGTCCCACAGGTAAGGTTATCAAAGGGCTTATCACAGGACACATGGCCTGCTGCCTGCAACACATGAAGGAGTGCCACTACCTTCATCCACAGGCTTTTGACCGTGCAAGAGCAACAAGCAGGCTCCTGTTGGAGAGTGGGGCTCCCATTGAGGCAGTTGTCCAAGCTCAGGCCAAACACACACAAAAGGAGCCCAGCAGGCTCAAGGGCCCATAGAAAGAACCGGCTCAAACATCTTTGTCCGAAGGCACATGACCGTCATTTATAGGAAGGAGAAGGTTATCTTGTAATACTGATTTTATTCAGCAGCTTTCAAGATGACTGAGTATGACATCAGGCTAAAAAATCTCAGCTGAAACCACTAAACACTCTGAACAACTTAAAGGGAAGCCCTGAAAGGCTGGTTTGCGTCTTGCAGATCCTCAGACCATCTTCCCCAACACTCGTGTTCACAAACTCTGTTAGAGCCATCTTGGACTGCATCATGCACAAACTCACGTTCTTTACATACTTGCATCCCATGATCTTCATGGGTTACCTGTTTCACAGTCTGGATGAACTTTAAGGTGTTGAATTTCACCTGGAAATTTTTCAAGGGTTTGACATTTGCCTCCCAATGAGAGGTACCTCTCCCACAAAAACATGCCTGCAGATAAGGTACTGCTACAGAGTCTGCTTTTGCACTGCTTTCCATCCCCTGCCTTCATTCAAATCACACTGGCCATGGTACCTCCAGAAAGGACCCCACCACTGCTTCTTGTCCACACCTGATGGACCAAATCCACTGATTCCAGTGCTTGTGTGTTCACATGCAACCCAGCTGGGAAACGACACCCCAACTTATAGAACCTCAAGAGTACAAGACCTGTCTCTTCTCCTGGAGAGGTGCAAAGAGATGTGAGAAGCCTGCTACCTGTTAAGTTGTGCTATCGTGGTGTTTCAAGTACTGAGGCCAGAAGAAAGATGAACTTGTGGTAAGGCCACCAAACAGAAATGCAGCTTCCAGCAATCCAAGCCTTCTGCCACAGATGGCCCCAACAGTTTCAAGCTGGTCAAAAAATCTCTTAGACCAGACTTCCCCACCTGTTTTAAGTGCCTGAGAAGGAAACATGTGCAAACATGGATCATTCAAGACATCAAAATGGTGAGGACTATATAAACAGACGCACACCTCACTGGTGAAGAAACAGACTGATCTGTTTAATGGTGTATAATGCCTGGTTTAGTTACCTTGAAAGTACTTAAGAGCAGGCAACACACCCTTGGATTGAAAGTAAATAAACATTTACAGCAGTAAAAAATGGCTTTTACTGTAAGAAGGCCTGGCTCTTGCTTGCACCTGTAACTCAAAAAAATATATTTAACATGCCAAACTATGTATTATAAGATGCTAAAAAGCAAAACAACATTATAGACATTTGCATAGAAAGCAGGTAGGCACAGGGAGAGAGGCAACACAAAATGGATAACTTGCTAGGGTCTGATTCAAACATCTTAGAAAAATGCTATTTGCTCAACTCAGGACTGAGCTACCAAGGAGATTTGTGGCAGCTAAAACTACAATAAAATGGAGATGAAAACTCTGTTTTGTGCCCCTAGAAGGGAGATAAATGAGGGTCAGAATGAAGTTCATTTAAATCCAATGAGCTGATACAGAGGGAGTTAGAGAGAGCCGCAAAACAAAATGAAAGGCTCGGCAGGAGCCTGCACAGCCAGTGCTGCAATGTCAGAAACGCAACACAGTGCCATCTGAAACCTACAGGCACCACAGCAGGACTCAGGGAAAAAAACAACGGTGGCACTCCTGGGGAAGCCATGCCTGCCTGCACCAGCACTGGAATAACACACCGGGGTCCTGCAACACAAGCCCCCGAGGTCAGATGCATTCTGAGGGGTGGTTCAGCGAAGCCTCTGGGGAGGAGGTCCACTGCTGGAGTAAAACCACCAGAGGAACAGAACTAAGCAACATCTATTTACAGCAGAGAGGAATATCTGCTCCTTTCTTTTGCTCCCACTTGGCATTCTCCTTTGGGTCTCTTATGGGAAAGCAGGTGCCTTAAGACAATAGATAATTAGCTGTAATGCATCCTCTGTGGCTTTAACAACTTAACAAGGCTTATCTGGAGACGTGATCTAGGCTTCCAGTTACCCTTGTTCTCCCAGTTCCCTTCCTCTTCCACACCCCCCCTCCCCAAATATTTGCATCTCAGCTTGACAGGTATTTTGAATTTAAGCTTAATAAAAGTGTTTGCATGTGTCTGTGCACGCTTAGGAGAAGGTATGAAAAAAACACCCTATTTTAACTCTGCCTCCCTGAAACACGTCTCGTTCCATTTTCCCTTCCCTGACAAACAGAGGGAGCTGAAATAAGGAACATCAACTTTGGAATGCCACTCTACCGAAGGATAACTTATTAAAAATATTAGATTCGTCGTTTAAAAAACGAAGGGAAAAAATGCCCAGGAAGCTGATGCATCACGGTGTTGCATTTGTGTCAAGCTCTGAGTAAACATGCAGCAACACGAATGAAATCTGTCCAGAAAGACTGCATTTCAGCGCCAACCACGCAATCGCTGGCCAAACCACTGCATATGTAACAAAAGTTTGATCTCGCCTGCAAGCGCTCAGCTGCGCTTCTGCCATTTCCTGTGGAAAACTGAAGCTCTGAACCACTGTCTCTCAGCCAGCCCTCGCCGACACCCAGCCAGCTGCCCCTGAATTCACGCCCATCACGCCGCGGCAGGCGGGCGCGGAGCCCCGGCAGAGCCGTGCGGGGGATGCTCGGCAGCTCCCCTCCAGCCCTGCCCGGGCCGGGCACCGCCGTGCAGGGGCAGCCGCGCCGCTCCTCCCTCCCCAGCCCCCGGCCCCGGCGGCAGGTGCGGCGGCGGCGGCGGCCCGCCCAGCGCCCGGGGGGGCGGACGGGGGCCCGCCCGGCGCAACAGGTGGTCGGTGGCGCCCGGTCCCGCCCGGCGGCCGCACTTACCGCTGGCGTTCTTTCCGCAGATGAGGTGCTGGTAGGGCTGCAGCAAGCCCCAGAGCTCGGGGTCGTTGTTGACCGTCTGCTCCAGCGCCTCCAGGGTGAAGCGGGGCGCCTCGCCGCCCTCCTTCTCCTTCTCGGCCGGGGCGGCGGCGGCGGCCGGGGAGCGGCCGGGCGGCGGGAGCGGGGCGGCGGGACCGGCCAGCACCCGCGCGTGGATGTCGCGGAAGAGGCTCTCGGTGCCGGCGGTGAGGTAGATGGCGGCGTGCTCGTGGATGCGCAGGGCCACGCGGCTGTCCACCATCCAGCGGTAGAACTTGCCCACAGAGAAGGCCAGTCCGCACCGGGCCGACTTGCCGCGGCTGAAGCGGTCGCCGCCACTGCTGCTCATGTTGTAGAGGGAGAGGGCGCCGAGGGCAGCTGCCGTGCAGCGGGCCGCCAGCGTCCAGCCCAGGACGATCTCCATGGCGCTCCGCACCTCGTGCTTGGTGCACTTGGCGAAGCGGAGGCTCAGTCGCTGTGCCTCCCGAGCGATGCGAACCAGCGCCCGGCTCACCAGGGTCGAGAGCCGCGCCGCCGCATCCCGGCTCCCGGGGCTGGCGGCACCCGGCGCCCGCGGCTCCCGGCGCGGCGGCGGCGGCAGCAGCAGTGCCTCCACCTCCTCCAGGCTCCAGGGGACCTCCTCAAGGTCGGGCAGGAGCCGGGAGCACTGCTGCCCCGCGCAGTCCAGCACCTCGGAGTCTTCCGCTAGGACGGTGTTGACGGTGTCGAAGCTGTTGTGCCGACTGTGCATGGAGTCAGTTAGGTGCGGCCAGCAGCTTCCTCCATAGGGGTACGCGGGGTGCGAATCCGAGCAGCACAGCGACAAGTTGGAGGAGCGCACAGAGTCCGCCGCACCACCATACCCGGAGTCCAGCGTCAGGTCTTCCAGCGTCCTCACCGCCGTCTTACCTCTCCGGGCCATCGCCGCACTTCATGCTGCACCCGAGGGACCCGGGCGGGGAGCGGCTCACGGGAACGCGGGGGGAGAGAGCAGCGAGCGGGCACGGCGCGACCAGCCGGTCGCTCCGCTTCTCACCGCTCCGCCAGACGGCAGCGAAGCGGCGGTGCTACCTGCGCCCTGCTCCTGCTGCCGCCGCCGGCTGAGCCCCGCTGCCGGCCCGGCTCCGGCTCCTGCACTGCGCCGCACCGCCGGCCCGACACCGCACCGCAGCGCAGCACCGGCCAGCGGGCGCGGAGGGCGGGGCTATGCAAAGCACCGCCGGCTCGCAGCCAATGGGACGGCTAGAAGGCGGAGACATGCAAAGCAGTGCGCCCGGCGGCCAATGGGACGGCGCCCTGCGGCGGCCGCGCCTCCCTTCGCTCCCCGGGGCCGCTCGGCGCCGCGCAGCGCGGACCGGGAGGGGGCGCGGCATGTGCGGCGCCGGCGACCCCGCCGCGTCCCGGGCCCGTCCGCGGAGCCCGCCGGCGCTGCGACCTCCGCGCAGGCAGCACCTCAAGGGCTGGGACTGTGCGCTGCAAAGCAAAAATATGTTAATGCGGGTCTGGGCCCGCCGGCAGCCGGGAGTGTGCGACCATCCGTGTCCTCTGTCCCCGCGGCTGGGAGCGGCACGGCTCTGCTACGTGCATCTACGCCGTTCCCCAGGCGTGCGAGCTAGAGTCCCGCTCCGGCCCGCACTGGGTTTTCACACCAGCAGTTCTCTGATGTTGCTATAAGCAAATGACAGGGAGCGCAAGCACTCACACATCTCATCAGACAGACAAGATGTTTTGAAATCAAGCAGAAACTGCCACGTAAGAATCCCAGGATCACTCGAGTCAGGAAGAGCAATTTCCAAATAATTAAAACAAGTACAATAAAACCCTTTGATATTCTTGACGTTAACCCATTAAGTATCGTGAAGGCTTTGACAAGTAAGAATTGTACTGGGCTTAGGGCACATTTCCTATGCATAGTAAGATGGTTTTTGTGCAAGACAATTTATCCTCAACTAATGTATTTTAATCTCACATTGCTAGGCTTTAGCTTTATTAGGAGTTGCCTGACTAATGTCCAGGCTGAGAATATATATGTTTGAATGCTCTGGTTTTGAAGAAATCTTACATCCATTTAGGCATAAAATACTAGCAAATTTCTATCCCTTTAAGGATAAAAGCCTAGCAAACACGTTTCTCTGTCATGCCAACAGAGGCAGCCAAAATTCTTGGATAGACAAGGCAAGTCATGTAAGAGATTTCCCCATCCAAGCAAGCCTGGCATTCCTTCAACATCAGCTTCCTAGAGGAAAGGCACGAGCACAACTACAGGTAGGCTCATTTGTCAGTCAGGCTGGGGAGAACTACAACACCACCAAAAACACCAAGACGGGGTTGCTTTCCAAATGAAGTCACGTGCTGTCAAAAACTGCTTTCTCAGCATAGTCCTGGCCCTTCCATAAGATGCATTATGCACACAATGGGTTTCCTCGGATTTCCCAAACACCACCATATCCTGATAAAAGGTAGAAGAGCTGAGAACAGGAGCAATCAGAACTTAAGCCACTGTCACGAGTGAAGTAAGATGCCGAGGCCCGCGCTGCTGGCAACAGCGTGTCTCGGGGCTGGCTCACCAAAAATGAGAGCATACCTCAAGAGTAAAATCCTGTGGACTTTGCAGCAATCCAGCAGTGCATCTCGCAGTAGAGCCCTCTGGTGTCTTCACCACCTCAGTGCAGTGGTTTCTCAAAATTCCCCTTCTCATTTGGTAGGAGAAGGAAGGCACCACCAGGACTAAACCCCTCAGGATAGTTATTTTTCTTACTCCATTCACCTGACTCTGTCCTTATGCTCTCACAGAATGTCACAACTGTGCATCCTGAGCATATGACAGCAGGTCAAATTCAGGGAAAGTTCAAGGTGGGGAGGTTTTCTAGTAATTGGCTTGTAGGGCTTCATAGAGACACAAGGTAGGTGTCCAGGGAGGATGGAACAATAGAAGTGGGTGTTTTGTTCACCGGCCTTTGTGAAAAACGGTGCTGCAGAGGTCAACATTCCCCTTGGGCACTGCATAACTTTTAGGCTACGACATCACATTGAGATGAATAGGATAAATGAGGAGTGGACAGTTGTCTTGTGCACCATGCAGACTCAGGCATTTCTATTGTTGACTCAGAAACAGTTTGGACTTCTAAAGAGATTGGGGTTTTATTTTTTAATTCAGAAAGCAAAATATTGGGTCTTACTAGAGGTTTTGTAGCTGCAACCTTGCACGTGGCAGTTTGATTCCTAGTCACACTACCAGCTCAAAAGATGTTGCAATACTTGAACACACCAAAGGCATGTCAGCAGCACTAGGCTGGCTTAAACTTTCGAAAGCGGGAGTAAGAACTTCTGACTCATTTGTGCAGAAGACTAATTACCTTTCCATTGAAAGGGCAGAAGTTCAAATAAGTTCAGTGTGACCACGCTGGATCTCCGGTGATCTTTTGGTACCCAAAGAATTTCACTTTCTCAGGTGTGGATATGCTGGCTGCTGCATCCCGAAATGAGATTCAGCATTATTTGGAAAGTGCTGCTCAGATAGGATTCTTTAAACCGCCCTCAGAAAAGACAGGATCAAACAGTTTGGAGCAAAATACACTCCTGCAACATGGACAGTGCCTGCATGGGATGTGTCCTTAGCTTTAATCCAGAAAGGGCACCACACCTCTCCTAGCCTGGGAGGAAAGGCAGGTGTCTGCAGCTGCACTACATTCTGCAAGTCTTACAGCCAGGGTCATTTGCCTATGAGACAAGAACACCCACTGCAGAAAACAAAGTCCCTTTATATGTCAAAGGCTAGGTGGAAACAATTTTCAGCTTGTTGGAGACAGGAACATCAATTATCCTTGCAGAGAATTCAGACAGAGACTGATTAAGTAACATAACAGGATGACAAGTGCCAGCTAAAACTCTGAAAGAGGGAAACTGAACCACATTTTTAAAAGGTGCTTAGGGCAAATTTAAGTAAATGGGAAGTTGGCATTTTTATGGGGAGAGCTCCAAGTGCTGCAATTCTTTCCTTCCCCACCCAGTCAACTGCCTGCAAAAGGCATCTTTTTGACAGCAATAGGGAAAAACATGACAGCAAACAGGCTGTCAGAAGAGCAGGAATTCACCTAGGATAAGGCCACTCCATGTAATTTCTGTATTCAAAATTCAATATGCTGCACTGCAGTAATAGCTGAGATGAAAAGCAGAATTTGCAGGATCTCCCAGTGTTACCTCCAGCTGCTGGGAACAAGCAGTAAACCTTAAGAGGTCCTTGCTTATATTGCTGGGGAAGTCGGAGTGCTAGTGTTTCTAATCACAGAAACAGGAGTTCGTTTACAAAGCAAGGCTGTAATTCTGTAGCAGTAAAGCAGGTGTGAAATGCACATCCCTGGCAGAAGAGCCTTTGGAGCTGCAGCACGAGTACGGTGTGCTGCAAAGAACACATCCCCAAAGGAGCCGAGCGCTGGCATCAGGTATCACAGTCCCTGCAGGATCACTGGGAGAGTGCTGCCAACTGTTTCGACAAGCAGGCTCAGGGAGATGACTCTAGTGCTGCTCCTCAAACACATGCAACTCCAAAAGCAGTGGGAATGAGTGACGCAATGAGGCCACCGGCTTGCCAGCTGGAAGGGAAGCACTGGTGGTGTCTCCAGCATGAGTGGGAGGGAAGAACACGTGGCAGGCGGATGCCACACCACCCATTTTTTCCCGATCAGCTCCATCCTGCTGATTTTAGCAACAAGCTGAACAAGCACCTGGCTAGAATTTAGCAGGAACCATTGCCCCACGGAGGAGCAAGATTCAGCTGATCAGTTTTCCCTCTTGCAGACACTAAGGAATAGGGCTGCCCCTATATTTCAGCTGACTGTTGCTTAGCCAGGGGCAGCCACCCGCCCGTATTCCTCTGCTGTGCAAAAGCAGCCAACTTCCCACTGAGCTCACAACCCTTCCTGACTTTCTTCCTGCAGCCCCCGTGCCCCCATGTGCTGAGGGTGGAGTTTTGTAACAGATGTGTAGACTTGTGCCTGACATAGAAGGGAGAGATTACTTGGGATTTCTCAAAACACACAAGCCAAGAATGCTCTGAGAAACTGCCAGCCTCAACCAAATCTCACCTCATATAACAAAGCTGTGGAGCCCAAGGCTCCACAAAATGGTACAGTTTGGAAGTGAAGAGCACAAATGATTTCAGAAAGAGATCTGACAAATTCATGGAGGCTAAAGACACTGGTAACTATTAAACACAATGGTGCATGTGCAATCTTCATCTCAGAAAGTTTCTCAACAGCTGTTTGCCAGAAATAGGGAGGTTATGTCAGGGGACAGAGGACTTTGTAATTGCTCAGTTACTCAATGGGTCTGTCGTTGATGGCTATGCAAGATGAGATACCCCACTGCAGAGACAGGGCCAGAGCCCCCAAGGCAGTTGTTTGGTTTAAACACTTACTTCCACAAAAGCCAAGGGCATTACCACCAGTTCACAAGTGCACCTTGGTTCTGCACAGCCATCGCAGAAGTATTTGCTGTCTTTACAAGATATTGGATCTTGTATTTTGTTCTAAGACAGGATCAACTGCAATCTCTACGTGAATCCTGACAGGCTTTAAAACTTTTCTTCAAACTATCCACGACAAAGTCTCTAGAACTTCTCTGGGTGATCTGTTTCAAAGTCCAAATAGTCTTACTGCTTGAAACAGCCTTCCTAACTAACCTTTACCTTGCCACAAATGGAAAAAATAAAAAGATGCTAGCAAACCTTTTTAGTGGTCTGGACTAGCAGCTCTGTCTTGTTTACTCTTAGGCAGTGTTAAAAGCATATAGAGCCAAGGAGAATACAAGTTAGCCCCCAGCCAGCAGGTATAAGTTCTTCTCACATTGCACTACACCACTCCAAAAAGCATAACAGTTGTTTGCATGTTTGATGTGCAGTAAGATTATACATACATACTATGTTTTGATCAGAACTGAAAGAAACAGGAATAGCAGGCTTCCCAGAGGACAGACACAAGGAAAGACTGTTCAGCCAGTGATAATTTTCATTCCCACCCAAAACACAGCAAACCTGCATAAGGGATATGAGTATATGGGAAAACAATTTAAAGGTGAAATCTGAAGTGACAAATGTGCTTGAGATCATCGGTGGCTGTCAAGTAAGCCAGCCCTTTAGTCTTCCCTTGGGGGAATGTCCAGCATAAAACTGTTT